ATTTCCATCCCTTGGTTCGTGACAATTTCCAATATTATTAGAAACAAACACCTTAGAAATGTTAACAGCTGTTCTAATGGTTGTTGTCCTTCCCATGCAAGAGAAAACTGAGACCAAATTAACCAGAAACAGAACCTGAGCAATTTGAAATTAGCCTACCTTGAATCTCTTCATTTACCGTAATGAGTCTAAACTCAGTAGAGCCATTTGGGTAAGAAATATCTTCAAACCAAAGAGTGAGAGAAGGTGCCTCATGGTCGGGAGTACAAATTCCAAATGATTAATTAATCCCATGCGGTGGTCTCTCCTAGTTTCTGTTGGTATAGCTCCTATTTCAGCAGACCACTGAGGTGCTCTCTCAAAGAGAAGAAAATGGATTGTTGCTTGATGAAAATGAAGCAACAGCAACGAATAGACTTACAATTGTCAAAGAATGGGTGCTCAGGAAATTACTTCATAAATAGGCACACAAGCTGTAGAACCAAATAACTGCTGCTAGACATATTTTCTCTTATAAAGAGGCAGCTGTTAAAGAGAACTTTCCGATCATTACCAAGCTACAGGTGTGAGAACGGAAGAAGCATGTGGCACCTGTACTGACTGCTGCACCCAGCAGGGCATTAGGACACGTTGTCCTTTGTTATCTCTCCGTAGAAACTGAAGTCTCAGAATAAACATGTTAATGGTTATCAACCGGTTTTCAACTGCACGTCAACACAAAAGTCAGAGAATGCTCCTCAGTACCATCAAGCTTTCAGAAATAACATTCAATGCCTGAGGAGTCCTTGGGGAAAAACTCAGTGGATATTATTAATGTCTACTGCAGAGCAGGTTTGGATTACAGAAGTCATCTGCAAAAATGAAGTGTAATGAAACCAGTCCTTACTCCAGAGGGGCCAATATCCCTGGTGAACATGGGCCAGGTCTTCCAGTTAACATCGTGCCGGTACTGTTTATGCACGTGCTCTCCCACACCATAGATGTTGCTGCTGGGTAGTTTGACTGACAGCTGTAAAAACTGGTCAGCATACTGAAGTGGTCCTATGGTAGTATCAAACCTGATGAAACAATTAAAAATAGTATTTTAGCAATAACTGTTGCAATAATTGTTGCTATTCCTTTTGGTTAGAGGTGGATAGTAGGTTAAGGTCTCCATCCAGACACCTGAAGGTGAGGGAGGTGTGTTGGTGCAGGACTGGAGCAGAGTGACCCTTGCACAGATGATGAGATGAGTGGTGCCTATTGATCCTATAGAAACCTCTCATAGAACTGGCCCAACATATTTTCAGAGGTACATTTGCATTCCCCTCTTCCACCAAAGCTTCCCATCCTGCATCTACCTGTTGTGCTGAATCCTAAATCCACTCACAGTAATCAGACAGATGGAAATTCCCATGGGTGGACAGAAACACAAAAATAATCCAAACCACAAGGTTAAAAATACTAACACTTGAGAGAAACTTAATAAGTAAATCTTCAGTCACTCCTGCCCAGTTGTCCAGTTTTAATGATTCCAAGGACTATCCTGCCCATCTGCTCACATATTCTACAGAAACCTGTTTTCTTGAGGGGGACAAGTTTTCTTTCCCCATGAAAGGATGGCAGTCTTTCAGGTTGTCTTGCAAATGATGATGGTAACAGGTCAGTCAGAACTCTTTTGTTGAATATTTGTTAAATATTGGTTCAAATGATGATGGGGGGTCGCAGGTTTTGCAACTCTTTGAATAACTGGGATTTTTGCAATGCACTGTAAGAACACTTGGGTCCCCACTCTTTCTTTTCCAGAGAGAGCTCTCTGCTGATTGGTTGGTTAAGAGCTGGGGCAAAGCACTCACCTGATCTAAACAAACTCAGCAAGGATTTATCCCTCAGGCACTGCCCCTACCCCATCCTAACAGCAGCTTTCTTTGAGATACCCAGAGCCCAGCATCATCACAGCCCTGGGTTTTTTTCTTTAGAGACAAAAGAGTGCAACCTCTTGATCAACCCAAGCAAAAGCCTGAGGAAACTAGAGACAACCTTCCAGAGCACTGTTTCAACAGGGTGCTATTAGATTGGGTTTCCTGTTCCCCCTCCATACACCTGTTTAATCAGCCATGCACTACTCAACACCAAGTCCAACCTCTGTGCTTTCTATAATTGCAAGTCAAACATTACAGAGGATTCTAAACAAGGAAACAATAAGAGCAAAAAAAGTAATAGCCAATTAATGAAACTTGAAGTGTTGATAATCCAGCTGGCCTGGCACTCTGACAGGTAATCATTTCTGGGCTGATTTAATAAGTATGTCCATCCTGACACTTCCCCCTTCTAATGGGTCTTAAAGCCTTTTGGATTTAGGTTTGTAGGTTTCTTTTATTTATTTATCTTTAGAACTTAAATGGGATGAGAGTATTCCATGTACAAGTCCGTCAGATATTCTACTTACAGCATTACATGACCAGCTTCTCAGTGGCTTTCACCACCTATTTTTTGATATCATGGATCTAAAGGGCAATCTGATTTTGGTGATTCAGGGCTTCAGCATGATTGCAAGGAATAAGATAAAAGATGCAATGAAGAGTGTTCCCATTTGCTTTGAAGCACTGGCAAGGAGTTCTTTAGAGAACAAAAATTTCCAAATTCATGGAACAAAGTAGCTGTAAAAATTTCCTTAGCCCTGGGGAAAAGTGAACACCCAGCCAGATCCAAAACCTTTCAGAAAAGGCTCTCCATATCACAGAATTTATTTCCAAGGGCCATGCAGAAGTCCCTGTAGAAGAACATCCATCAGTCAAAAGAAGGGAGGTAGTTTCCATGCCCAAGAGGACACCTCACACACAGCATCTGGGACAGAAATCACTTGTATGGCAGCATGGGCTTTTGGGGAAAAGCAATGACATTCAGGAAAAGCACCAGTGTTACTTACAGCACTCTACCATTGCTCACTCTGGTCATCACGATGCCAAAGGGATTCGGCTTCACATCCACTTTGTAGTTTAAATTGGAGGCAGCAGATCCAGTGAAAGGTTGCACATGCTGATGAGGGACCTCAAATCTTTGGGTATAGGGATCAGTGATCTGCACATATTTACACAACAAAAGTGTTGGGCTTTTAAACATAAATGCCCAATTCAAACATTTTCCAGTATTAACACATAGTCCTGACCCGGGATATTCCCACCCCTATCCTAGTCTCTTCTGCTCTCGTTAATCACTTCCAGCTTTCATCTCTTATTTTCAGGCTTTTCCCGCATAGTTCTTGATCCTGTGTTTCCCTGGCTCAGCAGGTACCCACCACAACTGGAAGGTCTCCCATAGAAGAAGACCCAGGACCCATCAATACCCAACATTCATGGCAAGGGCTGTTGAGTTTTCCACAGAAAGTAGAAATCAGTGGAAGAGCTAATGTTGTCTGTCAAAATGATTGAGAGATATGGATAACTAAATCCATTTATCCCCAAATTTTTCCAATCGCAGCAGCAGAGAGGACAAAGAAAGGAGGACCCGAGCACTTCAGTGGGAGTCACCAGAGGGATTAAGCCAACCCTCCTAACTTTATTGCATAGAAACAGCCCCCTGAAAATTTTGCACAGAACATGAACCTTAAAAGAGAATAAAAAAAATAAATAAATGATTAACCTTGAACCGGAAGCGATTTGGTGTCTGATACTCTCCAGTGAGGAGGACAGTGTCAATATCATTTCCAAAAAGGGAAGGTGATGGTAGCCTGGTTAGAGTGGTCTCGAATCCTTGGGAGAAACCACATGTTGCAATCTTATTGTGTTGAATCACCCATTGGCACGCATGTAACTTGGGGAGCTCAGCCCACAACTTACCTGCCTGAGTTGGTTTTGTTGACCCATCCACTTTGTACCCATGGTTTGAAGGGAAAAAACACCAGGGCATGTTAGTATCGCTCTGGGGACTCCAGCAGCAGCCACGCAAGGTGCAGGTGCTCTGAGACAAGGGCATGAAGGGCACAAATTAGCTGATTTTACACAAATAAATCCTCCCTACTAAAGCAGTCAAAATGCACAGAGTGTATTTTACCTCAAACACCAGAAACCTTCATATCTGCAATCAGATGAACCCCTTCTCTGTTGATTGAATTCAATGGCATGGAATACACTAAATAGGATTTTTTTCTGCATTCAGAGTAAAAACTTACTTATTAGATATTAATTCCTTCTTAAACCCATAAGATCCACAGGCAAAATAAACATTTCAGAAGAATTATTGCAACATTTGAGCTGTGGCAGCTTCAGTATAGGCTGATCAAAAGTCACACACTGAAGGGGGGTTAAAAGTTATAGTTGGATTAACATCTGGTAAACATCTGGTTAAACATCTATGTGTGTGCAATTGATCATCATGTATTATATCTAAATTCCAATGTAATTTTCCAATATCAGACATGTTCAGATTGCTTCTGCAGAAGCAAATATCAAGATAAATCAATGTGGGGCTTTTTGTGGGATTTTTTTTTTCCTTTTTTTAAAAAAAAAAACCCAAACAACTAAACAAATCAACCTATTGCTAAAAGAATATGTTTCAGTGTGGTGCCACCACCCTTTACACTATCTTTCAATAGTCTAAGAAGCTACAGTACCTTTGCTTTGCTGTTAGAAATTAATGTATACACGTGCTGCTTGCCCGAGTTTTATGACTGAAGATAAGATTTGTGTAATACAACACTAAGCTTCTAAACATTTTCTCATATTAAAACCCCCAAATCATTACACAGGGCAAAGGGCGGTAGTAATACAAGTTTCACTGAGGGCAAAGGGCAGCGTTTATAAGTGATGTCAGGTAGTCAAATCCAACATGCAGATCTTCAAGACCTTCCCCCTTCCACCTGGTCACTAACAGAAGCTGTTTCTGCCCTCATCCGATGGTGGTCAAATGTTTCTGGTGTTTGTGTCATGCTTATTTAAAATATTCTACAGCTTGAAAGAAGTGGACATGGGTCCAAAATCTCTACTGCTGCTGTCCTTAATGGCACTTGGGTTTGAGTTATAGAGCTTAGTCTGGTCAGTGTGGGTCTAATGCTCTCCTCAGCTTCTAAAGACAGCAAAGATAAACCAACTCAAGCCCAGAGGTCATGCCATTGCTCAAGGAAAGCCCAGAGGGAGCTCACAGAGCCTGGATTAGGAAGTCTTAATGAGTTTATTCAGTAGTGATTGCACAGAAATCGCTGCAAAATCACCCAAGATAAAACCCACATTCACCAAACATAAATATTTGTATCTGTCACAGACTCATCACATCAAAAAACCATGTCAGCTGTCATTTTCACCAGGTTCTAAACACAAAACATGGTTGGAGGAGATACAGAGTGCCCCATTTTCCCCCACATCGATCCACAAATCACTGCACTTTCCAAAGCTGTGAAAAACCGCCACTCACTTTCCACCACATGCAATTCCTACCATGAGGACTCCCTATTTCCTATTTTGCACACTACTTCAGAGGAAAGGAGAAGAAGGACCAATCCTTTCCAAGACAGCAGAGACCTCTGCTTTGCTCCTTTACTTCATTTCCTTCACACATAAGGGAATATCCTAAATAAATAAGGACAGAGTTGTTACCTCCTTCCTTTTATCCCTTCCTAGACCAGTGACTATCTCATGCAACGCAGAATATCTTGAACAACAGATTTTCCTAAAGCCTGGTAGTTCCAGCATCTATGTTCCTAACTTCATAGTCATGCTTTTCTTTTTCCCCAGCTGCTTCTCATGAGTACTTGCTGACTTTTTTCAGCAGTTACTTTACAGTCCAGTGATATCCTCCTAACTCGACCTCATTCTAGCAGATTTGTAAGTTATATCTCTGTATTTTTGTGGCACATTGAGCTTGCTGCATAAGGAATTAAGCACAGAAGTTCAAGAAGGGTGATGCCTCACACAGGGAAAGGAGCAGAGTTCATCCAAAGGCACTGGAGAAGATGTTATAAATGCTATCATTTAGTGTAAATAAAGCTGTGAACTGATCACAGCCTCTGAGCTACAAACCCAACATAACAGAAACCATTACCCAATAAAGCCTAAGAGAACACCAGAGCTTAATTAGAAATAATTCTGGATACCAGGAGAGAGTTTATACTGGGATATGGTATGAGATGGCTTCTGAACATTGAACTGAATTAAAAGAATAGCTTGTCTATGTGCTGAACTAAAATGTTTCTCTTCTGTGCACCCAAACAAACATTTGCCAGCAGGATATTTTGAGGAAAAAAAAAAACACAAACCCAAACAAAAACAACAGCACACTCTCCCCCCCAAGCTTTGGAGGTATCAGTCCAATAACAGACTGTACTAGCTCTGCTCATGGTGGCTCCATTTTTACTGATGCTTTCTTCTTGTCTGATCAAATTTGATGGCAGTTTTCCACAGCAGTGAATAGTCAGTAAATAGATAGACTTCCTTTCAGCACGTCTATCTTCACCAACCCTGTGATCGGCTCGTAAATATCTATTTGCTTTCCACACTCCTCTGCAATTCTACTCATTTTCTGGCTTCAGCTAGGACATCTCCAGTGAATCCAGAAATCAAGACTGATACTAACCTGCTCTAAGAGCTTAGGCAAATCATAATCTTCCCAGCTGCTGTTTATTCTGAAAACTACTCCAGAAGTTATGTTATTCTAAGGAGGTACCTGTGGTTTTACAGCTCTGCTGGCTGCTGCATTAGAGCAGCCTAAAGAAAGACAATCAAAATGCATCCAGGAGACAACGTGAACAGGAATGAATGGATGCACTGGAGTGGGACTCTGGCTTTTGCCAGGTGTGCATCTCACAGCTTTCATCATGGGTTAAAGGTGATATTCATCTTGAATCCTGTGAAATCTGTTGCATGGTCTTCACTATGGAAAGCAGAGATCCATGAATCATTTATTTTACCTCTAATTCCAGAGCAGGTACCCCAGCGTTCAAATCTGCATCTGGCCTTATTTTTCTGCTGGTATCTCTAATTTGATTGGTTTAATTTCTTTCTAAACAGTGATGGTAAGAAGCAAGGGCAGACAGAATAAGGCTCACAGCTGCTACCACAGCAAAACTATTCCCCTCCCTGTACCATGAGTGTAGCATTTAATGTGGGGTGACTGGTTCACAGGTAGCAATTAAAGTGATCTGCATGACTGCTCCAACCATGGTGTTCTTGCCCCTAAGGGGGACAAAAATAACCCAAAGAGCAGAGGAACAGGCTGTGAGTTGAGCCTTTACTAGCCTGTTTGCTCACAGTACTTTTTTGAATTATATCTCATACTAAACCCCACAGCATGAGAGAAGCTTTAAGAACTGTAATTTTTGGAATTAGACTGGGAATTTCCTCAGAGATTGAGACAGATGGTTAATAATTTTTTATGCCTCTGAGAATGACATAAACATCACACACCATAATATATTCACTACTTTTTTCTCCTCAGATGCACACACACAAACCAAAGAAAGATGCCAGGCACCCACTAACTGCCATCAGAAAATGACAATACCTATCATACAGATTAATAATAATGGTAACGAAAATAAATAATAATAGCCTTTCAAAAACAATGACTACAAAAGTGTTCTGAATGTGAGAAACTGAAAACTGAAGATGATACCTTTCACTGGGAATCTTAACTCACAGGTTCTTTAGCCAAAAGGTTATTTCTGAACTCTGTGCTCTCCCAGATAAGAGACACCACAACTGAGAAAGGAAGATATTGGAATTCAAATGGGTTCTGAAAGGAAACTGTGACCACATCTCTTCTAAAAGTTTTGTGCATCTGGGTAAAATGCATCTTCACCTGCTATTTCTGAATGATTACAAATACTACTACTTGACCAACAGACAAAAAGAAACTGTTCCACAAAGCTGTTAAAAGAGTGACTTTTTAAACTCCTTGAGGTCTGACTAATCTTATTCCCACCTATCCCAAAGCCAACCTGCTGGGGAATACTTTGGCAATAGGGTTCAACCTTTAACACCAAACTGCTACAGTGGACAGAAAAATCATAATTTCTGTCAATGGGCTGAAATGGGTCATAGAGGAGTTATACTGCCCTGCAAAGTGCTCAGGCAACCACAGATTAAAAAACATTAAGAAAACAACTGATATAGTAGAGACAAGTTATTTGTAATTAAGCATGAGGCTTTACAGGCTAAAGCCTATTTTTTATTTTTTTTCTAGAATATTTTCAGACCTTTGTTGCCAGTTGATCTGGGATGCAGTCAATTCTCTCTGCTGCTAATATTTTTGGACATTTTGGTGAAAATTCTGTAAGGGAAATAAGTGAACAGGTTATTATCAAGATTTCCAGAACTTAGGAATAACCTGATTATCTCTTAACTCAGTAGCTGCTTCTGCTGGGTGTTTCTCACCACTGAAACTCTAACCATTAATATAGACTCAAATGAGTGTAAACTATTGCAAGTGGGATTTATTTTTACCTTTGAAAAATCTCACACCACTTTTTCAGACAAAAGCAGGACAATTTCACTTTAAAACTTTTGGTCATCTGGGTGACGTTATTTTGTTTCTTAAGATATACCTTGATCCATTTTTCAGTCAGTTTTGTAGATCAGTATGCATTGCTTTGTGTGAAAATCCATCCCAAATTAAAATTCGCAGGACTTTTCCTTAAATTTATTAAGTACTCTGTTGCTGCTCTCACAGGTGTTCCTTCCCCTGAAACACTCTTCTTCCACAGGAGCTTGAATTAAAGCATCGGCGAAAACCACCTTAAAGCTCCATTAAGGTTCTCCAATAGATTTCAGGTTTGTCAGACTGTATTTAAAGTGATCGTTTTGCAACTCTATCTGATGCTTGTTTTCAGTTTCTCCTAACATTGAAAGTTAATTTCAATATTTTGGAACCCTGTATATGTTTGGAATGAGAATTATGGAGTGTGGAAGCCAATACACAGACTCTCCTGTTGGCATTATCGGCAATATACCCTCTTGTATTGTTGCTCAGGCAGACTCCTATTCATCTGGTGACAGAGGCGGGCAGAAAATATGCAGATACCAGTCTGCATGGGCACTTTTACTAGAACACCAAGTGTTGGGGTTGTAGAAGGAATTATTTTTCTTTTACTGCCGTTTGCATCTCCAAGCTGTTTGCTTCAATCCCTGAGTGTAAGTGGCATTACTCACACAAAGTGGAACTGTATGTCAAAGTCTTTTTTATACTCCAGGATTTTATACTCATACCAGATCTATGTTTATAAAACAAGTCCAGTCTTGCGAGGAAAGGATAAAAGGCTTTTTTTCATGACAATAAATTCTGACTCATGTTATTTATTATCTTCATAACTAGTAACTTTACTCATCTGCAGGAAGCATTGACCATGTTTCACCTTTGGGTAATGATAAGAACATAACAGCAATCCTGAAAGTCAGGACTTTACAGTGTGATGGTTTTTAAGCACTTAAAGTGACTTTTCTTCTCCTCACTTGAACATTTGAATCCAACAGTGTCAGAAATTATGACAATGGTCAATTCCTGAAGTTCTGTGTCATTTAAATAGTCAAAACAAGCAGAGATGAGCGCTGCCCACTCAGGGGTTTTGCTCTGCTCCTACAGCAGCAATGGGAAGAACTCACCTGTGGTTTTGGTTCCGGATTGTCCTGATGCTAAAAGCCCAATGAGGATACAGGCTATGATCGTCACCAGGCAGATGAGGACAATCAGGGTGACTTCCAGCCCACTGAACTTCCTCTTGGCCATCTACACCCAGACAAACACCGTTGGCAAAAGGAAAACACGAGCTACACCTCTATACATTACATTACTAATTAAATAAATCAGTGAAATTTATCAATTATTCCAGTTTTAAACTATGTCACTTAATCACAGGGTTGAAATGTAACACTTCTTAAGGACTATGTGAAATAAGCCTTAAATTCAGGATAACTCACCCAGCACAGATCACTGAGAAATGTGATTTTGTTCCCTGCACACCACTTTACACATAAAGAATAATTTTCTCCTGATATTAATTATAGAGTCGCTTATATTACTGCAATTCCTGAAATTGAAAACAAACAAAATTCCCTTTCCTTTTTTTTTTTTTTTAATCTCTCTATTTTTTTTTTCCTTTCCTTCTTTAGAACAAGAACAAACTATAACCTGGTTTAGGTTATAGGAGGGGGATTTTGATTTGCTAAAATCGTATTTGACAATGGCTCTAATGAGCTCTGATAGCATACTGATGACATGTGGAAAAGGCAAGATACAGGTAACAGAGTAAGTTAATTATTTGTCAAATGGAAGAATGCATCACGTGTATAAGCCCAGGGGATTTTAGAGGGGCTGGAGTTCAGTGAAAACAGCAGAAACTGAAATGCTGAACTATGCACAGCCAATAAAACTAATTAAAACTAATCCCCAGCATCCAGATCAATGCACATTGGCAGCACTGCTACATTTTACGTTTGGTTAAGAGCATTTAACCTTATAAAACAACCTTAAAAACAGAGAAATTGGTTCTTTTTAGTTATAGCAAGAAGCCAAAGGAATACATGTGCATTACACTGACATATCGAAACACTTTTACATGTTTTAATGATGATCCAAAGGAAAGAAAAACATTTTAAAATAAGCTTTTTTTTTATTTTTTTTTTTTGTGAAATAACAGTTTAAGTCTATTTTATATACTTGTCTCCTGTTTCTTCCAAGTATGACCTACCCGCACCCCATCTCATTGAAATCCCACAGCCACAGGAAGGAACGAAGAGTAAAAGCAACACTTGCCCCAAAACAACCCCCAAGAAGAGTAAAGCTCCTACTTAGATAACTAAGTGTTTTTCAGCATGGTGATTAATAAAGAAACATCTTTAATATTATATTTATTGGTGCTCCCCCAGGGAATATTGCATTTCAAGTCTGCACCTACAGTGTACATGGTGATGCATACATCTTAAGGTCTGTTCTTTATGATGAGGAAATGATACTTCAGCAATTCCTCTCCTGAGTCCCCCTTAATATTGCCTGAATATATGTGTAATGGTTTGAAACCTGCTGCCCCTGGTGGGTGGAGATCTGAAACCCTAAACCAGGTACAAGCCTGAATGAAAGGGGCATACACCTGTCCTATTCCCACTCCCCTTTTTCCTGTCTTCAGGACTTCCTGCCAAGGTCTATAGAAGGGGCGAGAAAGGCACGCCTCTCTGTCTCGTTCTTGCTCTTGCTCCTTTGACCTTGTACCTGGGCACACGCTGCTCTGCTGCTCCCTGTGCTACACGTGGCCGTGGCCATCTTGGAGACCTGGGCCTGACCTACAGACACTTCCCTGCCTCCATCCACGTCCAAGGATTGTGCATCCAGCTTCAATCCACCTCAATCCAGCGAGATCCAGCACTGGGGAGCCTCAGCACAACATTTGGGTTTTGTATATTTGGAAGTTTAATCTTCCTTGCCTTGTTGTTCCTATAACCCCCCTTACCCTGTTAAACCCCTACCCTTCTTCCTTTCTGTACCCTGTTTAAACCCCTACCCTTCTTCCTTTCTGTTCCCTGTTAAATAATATATTTCATTTTGTTAATTTTCAGTTTGGTGCAAGGTTTTCATTACCCCTGCCTTCTTTATTTACCTCTCTATCTGGGAAACTGAGGGATAAGGGAGGTGGGACACAATTCTGCCTTCTAACTGGGACAATATGTCAACTACGAGTCCTAAAAAGAAACGTTCTTTTCCTGAAAACTAGAATTTTATCAAAGTTCTTGTCATTGAGCTCACCCCACTCCTCCACCCCCTCAACAAGAACATTGCATTTCAGTTCTTTCCTTCTCATGGTCTCCCCCAAAACCTGAGACTTTAGAAATAAAGCTTTATAATTTACAAATACAAGTTCTCTTGTGTGATGTGTATTCAGCAGTGAGGCAATGTCCAGAAATTTGGATGCAATGGAAGGGATGACTTACCTTAAGGCCCTTCTGGTTCCCTCATCTGCTGCTCTTGAGTGTAAAGCTCAATAGCAAAAGCAATGTTTTATCCTTTGCTCTTATCAGTTTGTTGCACTGTTTGCCAACCCACCTACCAATAGCATGGACATCTGTGAGTACAGCTAGATTGCAGAAACTCTTTGGATTAAACATAGGGACAATGGTTATTGCAGCCAAGGAATGGCTGGTTAATTAATAATATTTTGGTTTATTATGAAGTATCAGATTGTAGGAGCCATAAAACACCAAAAAGCTTATCTGTGTTGCCTGACTAAACAGGTTTTATTCCATATCTTTGTTACTAGAACCTCCATGGAATGTTCATGTTGTCTATCATTGGTGCTATAAGCACCACAAAAAGTCATTAAATGCTTCCAGCTGGGGAAAAGAGCTATTAAAATCGTTGTAGGAAAGAGTTGAATTTATGGCCACTAAAACTTTTTTAGGTATTAATTATAAGGTATTAATATTACTATTAAACATGATATTAAGTTAACTTATAAGAACTAATATTATAATTCATATTAAATGTTATATTAATATAAACTGATTTCATGGGATACTAACAATAAATGTCAAAAGCAGAAGAAAAAATTGAACAATTAACATGGAAAAGAGTTTATAGGGAAAAGGCTGCAATCAAAACTAATATGAAACCTCCATATGTAACTGGGTTTTGTCTTTTTCTTACAACCAACAGAATCTCAACATTAATTCTTTGTTTTCCGGAGGAATGCTTTCAATTCAATCAATTAAAAAAAGATTATAAGTTATTTTCCAGTAATGAAGAAATGTCTGAGAATTGCCACTTGTCTTTGTTGAACTGTTCACAAGTTCATTCAGTTTCCTCAGTATCTCACCTCTGACTGTGAAATGTAGGAACGAGATGTGTCCTCTCTGAGCACAAAGGGAATTGTCCTCTTTGCCTTAGTCAGCTTATAAAAGAAAGAAAATCAATCATGCATAGAGAGTGCTGGGGTTCTCCTGTAACCATCCTTCTTTATACAAATCAATGCCACTGCTCTCGATGACTCTGGGTTTGAATGCAGCCTGTTATTTAGTTATCCAACTCTCTCCATTTCATTGTAGCACCATGCATGTCCATCTGTGTGCAAGCAACCTTTGGAAATGGAATTCTAACATCACTCTCCATATTGCTAAATGTGCTGCTTTGGGAGTGCATTGTGAGAAATAACAGTTGCACGTGGATTATGAAGCTATCAATGGCTTGAGAGGCTTTAGAGGGGGGTTGTTTGACGTTTCTCTGTTTTCCAAAGTTTATATCTTCATTTATCTGCTCCAGGAAAGTACTTTGTGCAGCAAAACACATGGCCCTGGGTTTCCTTTAAGGGTGTCTGCAATCACCCTGCCATCAATCCAACCATTTCCTGAATTCACAGTGCTACCAACGTCTGTTCTCAATCACTTAGTGAACGTTTTCTGCGCAACTTGAGAGCGTGAAAGCACTGAGCAAAAAGGTCTCACAAGAGGGTTAAGCAGCAGGTTTCCTGGCTGAGCATGTTTTCATTAGTCTACAAAGGATATCAACAACAGGGCTCTCAGGTTGAGACGCGATAATGAACTCCAAGAAGGAGGAATGGGGCAGGCTCTTCAGCTGAGGACATCAAGAGACCATACAGACAACCAAGAACTCTGTTAAATCACAGCATGGTCCCTGCTGCATCATGCTTTGGTTTCCAGGAATTAAGAGCTGATTTGTTTCTGACAGCTGGTGAGAAGTATTGCTAGAAGCCCAGGAGTATAGGCTAGACTGTAGAGAATGGTGTGCGGAAAGAAGCTAGAAAATTAGGTCCCGTTAAAAATGTAGTAATTTAAAAAGAGTTTCTTACTCTGTTCTTCATTTCTAACAGGTCCATTTTTAGTTAAATCACATACAACTTGAAAAACTTGTTAGCTGGTTGTAGTTAGCTCCCTGGTTGTACTCAGACAGTTGTGCTAATAGCTGAATTTTCAGCTAAGGGACCATGTGAGGAAAAAGAAATAGCTTATGCTTTTTCTGTTGTTTCATGAGATTTGTTTTTTCACTGTTCTGGTATCAAACCTTTACTTAAAGTTACAGTTTGGAGCCCATAATTCCTGCAAGAAACTGCTTGCAGATTACCAGCTCAGTCAGGAACATAAATGTTATTATTACAAATACCTCATGCTTTTCCCAAGACAAAACAAATAACCTAGTTGGGCAAAAGTTAAATAATTGGGTCAAATCAACATTTTGATGAGAGTGTCAGATTCTGCATGATAGGATTACACAGGTTGTTGGCAGGAGACCCAAACTGCTTCTGCTGTAACTCCGCTGCCCTAAGATGGTTTATACTGGTGATTTACTCCCAAGAACCTCAGGAAGTGCTGGCAAACTAACAAGGCAGATGCATGCAAGCAGAAAAATGGTCCAAATTCAGCACAGCTCTTAGAGGGCTCCTGGGAACCCCTTGATAAAATTCCACTGTCAAATAAGAAGCAGATCACATGGATGTTACTCCTGCCCCCAAAAATCTCCCTCTTTGACGCTGAAATCACAGAAGATTTGTTCCAGTGTTCAACTGAAAAAAACCCTCAACCTTTCAAAAATAGAAGCACAGCTCCTCTTTCTACTGGAAAAAGATCAGGGTTTAGAAACTCCATTAGAATAATCCAAGCCCACAGAGGAAATGAAGAGGAACTGTAACTATGCTTTTTCCGTTCTTAGATTCATCTGGAAAGAAGACTGGCTGCTTTCAGGGTTATTTCGCTATTTCGCATAAACAATGAATAAAATAGACAGTG